GGTGCCGACCCTCAGGTTGGGAACCACTGCTGTAGATGACTAATTTATGATCTCATCTCATCCCAACAACTTAGTGTGTATCCACCAAAATAAAAGCCTCTGACTGTGTGCCGACCTCAGCTGAAAGAAATGAGAAACTGGGTCACTACATGTATTTATAATGTGATTTTTTTTTATTCCTTCTGGCGATCAGTTTTAAACCCTGCAGCCAAAATGTGACAGACCAACAGGATGTGATTAAAAATGGATGAAAAGACAGACAGCAGTGACATGTTCTCCTTTTACATTCAGAGCCTTTGTTGTGTCTCCATCTGGTGGTCAGAAAGAGGAACACCATCAAGTATGCTGATAAAGTAAAGACTGAGATTATTATGAGAGTAATGTGGCTGTTTTAACACAAAGTAAAAAGTATGAAGATGTGTTGGAGTTTTTCTGACAGTTCAAAGTTGAAATATTATATTTAGGTCCAATAGTCCTCTTGTGTTGTGATCTCTGCTTCATTTAAAAATGAATATTATAATTAGAAGATATGTATATAATTTCTCAGAGTGAGACCAGAATATCGACACCAATGTCTGTACAGAGAGGTAATTAGCATAGCTTAGCATAAAGACTGGAAGTGGAAGGAAACTGCTAGCTCTTGTAGTTTCAGATTTCGACCTCATGAATTTAAAAATCTGAAATTTGACTTTTTTCCACCTACTTGTCCTGACGCTCCTCTGGATTGGCTGGCTTATGACTGTGGGCCCGCCTCTGGATCCGCCCCCGCTGATGGTCGCCACGGTGAAGTTGTACCGCCGCCCCGGAAACATCCCGGCCAGGATGCGGCTGGTCAGGTGAGTCTGCGTGACTGACAGGTGGTCTGGAGGAGTCCACTGCAGGCTGAAGCTGTCGTAGTCCCCGGAGGCGGGGCCAGACCACGACAGCTCTATCGTGTCATTGGTCGGGCCTTGTTTGACGGACAGGTGGGTGGGCAGCTCTGGAGCTGTAGGGGGGAAAGTAAAAGTAAACAAAACAACATTAACAATTAGTATCAATACTATTAATTTGATCTGTATGTTTGTGTCTGTTCTGGACTTACCGGTGCGTCCGAACGCTGAGATGTTATTGGTCAGTTCCCCGCTGTGTGTGATGACCTCAGTGCGGTACAGCCTACCAGGAACCAGCCCAGAGAACATGTGACTCGTGTGCTCGGCCCCGAGCGTCTGTGCTCCCAGAGTGGCTCCAGAAACATCGTACAATACCACCTTAAATCACACGAAAACGAGTTTAAACAAGTTATAAATGTTGTAGAGAGCTGCAGTGAAACTGGAACTTTAAAAAATTTAACTAAAAATCCCATCGTTTTACATTTTAGAGCTATTCTGATATTTTCAGCAATTTTTCCAGATTATCACGGATTATGTAAAAAAGGGGATACATTTAAATTAAATTTCAATTTCTAAGCATCCTAATTAGCGTCTTTAAAGAATTGCTGAACTGAACTAATTAAAATTGACTGTCTGTTCACCTGATAGGTGTTCCAGCTTCCCTCTCCGTGCTGCCAGCTGACCGTCAGTCTGTCCGTCCGTCCTGAACTCTGGACCTGAAGAGATGAAACTGTGGACGGGACTGCAGAGACGAAAAGAAGAGTATAGTGACGGTGAGGAAGGGAAATAAAGGGGTAAAAATCACAAAGAAAGGCAAAGAATAAAACAAAAAGAAAGCAAATGCAATGGGAAAAGAAAATGGAGAGGAAAGACAGAATCCAACCATCAGTATTTATTCTGTCAAAAATAATAATAATAATAATAATAATAGTAACGTGTTGACTGACCCGTTCTGGCCAGTACAGATGAGTCGCTGTTCATTCCTCTGCTCCAGCTCACCACCTGCAGTCTGTACAGACTTCCTGCTCGTAGTCCAGAGAACACACATCTGTCTGCAGCTGGACTGACCTTCTGCAGGTCCACCAGTTCCCCCGCAGTCTACAACACAGAGCACATCATACATAAGTACTATATATTGTGTGTTAATATATAAATATAAAGTCAAACATTTATTCTTAATCCCACCTGGTGATGCTCCTTCCTGCTCCCTGCCGCGTCCTGTTTGTGATTGGCTGTTGCCTCGGTGACGCTGTAAAGCGACAGGTCGTAGATTTCGACGTGGCCGTCCGAGGGTCGCCAGGAGAAGGAGAGAGAGGAGGTGTTGGCCGAAGTGACGGTTAGATTGCTGACTGCTGCCGGACCTGCACAACAAACACAGACTGACTGTTATAATGTTAATACCTAAAAATAATGCTTTAGAATCTGACATAAGAACATTAAACAGAAAAACTATAATACACTTTTAGATAATAGAAGAGAAACAGTGAAAAATTATAAATATAACTCACGTGTTTGTCCCTCTGCTGTGGCCTCCAGTGACGGGACGCCGCCGCTGAGCGTCACCACCCTCACACGGTACCACTTCCCTGATGTCAGACCCTCCAGACGCTCGCTTCGGCTGGCCACAGTAACCGACCGATTGGCCAGAACGACACCAGCCTCATCCAATAACTGCAGGCTGTAGCCATCGTACACGCCCACCGGCCGTTCCCAGCTCACGGTCAGACTGTGAGTGGTGTGGTCGTTATCCGCCTGCAGGGCTGTGACTCTGGCTGGAGCTGGAGGTGGTGAACACAATTATCAATACCAATTAATATTCATCACTAAATTTAAATGAACTGAATCGATCGTCCATTGTCTTACCGGTCCTGCCAGTGGCTGTGTTCCTATTGAACCGGTTCCCGCTCAGCGACTGGACGGTCAAGGTATAGGCGTTACCTGGAATTAGATCGAGGAAGTCCAGGGAGGTGACGTGTTTAGGGACAGGGCGAGTCTCAATGATGGCGCCATCCTTGAAACAGGAAGTGACAAAAGAACATTAAACCCATCACCTATAAATGTATCTTTTCCATCAAACAATTATTCTGTTTATCCATCATTGGTTCTTTATTTACATTCACATTTGACCACTGTGGTGTACCCCAAGGATCCATTTTTGGCCCTATTTTATTTGCACTGTATAGTATTATCCTTCCACAGGCCTCTATTTTTAGAAAACACAACCTTTCCTATCAAAGCTATGCCCATACGCAGATGACACACAGCTTTATTCCATTTTATTCATTCTCTTTTACGTCATCTCAAGGATGTCAAATGCTGTAACGCTGCAGTTTTAATGATGAATTTGATGTAGACAGTATTTAACAAAGCTTATAAAGTTTCTCCTCACTCAACAACTCTCAAAAT